GATAAAAACAAACCAATAGTATAATACCAAAAATCCCAAGAACAAAACACTTAACTAGTTACCACAGAAATGAGAAAGAAGAGAACGACACCATCGATTGACACACACGTGAAAACCAAAGACGACGACGACGTGAATTCATTCTTTCCACCAAAAGAAAATATAACGAACATAGTATCCAACGAAGACATTTGGAGTGCAAGAGACGCGATTGACGTTGTTGGTGAGAGAGTTAAACCCGCGGAGTGGAGTATTACTCAACTGAGACAGTATTGCACGAACTATAAGAATGCAAATAGTAAGCCAGAGAACCACTTCTTGTGGATCGATATTGAATCGCCATCAAAAGAAGTGATGATAGCGATTGGGATGTTATTTGAACTCCACTGTCTCTCTGTTGAACGATGGCTTGACGAAGATCAACGTGAAGCTGTTCTGATATATCCGTACTACTACGAAATTCTGACAAAGAACATTGAATACCACCCCTTCACTGACATCCTTAGAATAAAGAACACGCGAATCACAATCAAGAAACGAGTCATCATAACTTTCCACCAACGGAACGACAACGTCTTCGATATGGTCAAAAAGACTTTTGCGACAAACAGAAGCATATCGCCCGAAATCATTTTGTTCCAAATCCTCCACCAGAGCATCATGCAGTTTGCGGAGTGGGTCAAAATCATATCCGATGAAATAGAGGTGCAACAAACGATGCAACTGCACGTCTTGAAGAATGAACAACTCGGCTTCATAGCTCGGAACAAAGTGTTGGAAGACAAAATAGAAACGTTACTCAGCTGTTTGATTGCAAAGAAGTTTGTTGTTCACTGTGCATCTACAGAAACTCATAAGAAGGACAATGCTCAGATTTTTAATACGATCAAGCAAAAAGAAGGCTTTCAGAACAATCAAAGACACCTTTGAGGTGATGCTCAGAGATGCATATTATGACTTTGCGAGTGTGTATCAACGCTTGAAAAGGGTGAAAGAATTGAATGACTTCTGTTTCAATATATACAACGTGAGACTTACAATAGCGTCGACTTTTACAGAACGAGAGACAAGTAAATACATCCAAGTGTTCAACTTCATCTCACTCATATTCTTTCCAATCACACTTGTTGTGAACTCCTTTGGGTGCAATATTAGAGTCCCGTGGCAGAGCGACTTGGTCAATGAACAAGAACCCCGCACGTTCTTTTACATCATGCTCGGGTGCCTTGGGTTGTTGATATTACAACAAATAGTATTTAAGAAGTTGAAGTGGTATTGATGCAGACACTTTGCCTCAAATGTATAACCCAATTGAATTCTAAATAATTTGATGTTATTAGAATGTTATACTAAGACCCACACCAAACCGAATGCACAAAGAAATAGCTTTGTTGTTGAAAATGGGGTTGAATAAATAAAGAGTATGAAAACCGATTTAGTACATTGTTGTGACGCTTTAGAACAAGTCGTCGTCGTCACCTCTCTTCTGTGAATTGAGCAAGAAGTTGGTGTATGTGTTTGTATCAAAGTAGTTGTCTGGGCTGTGTTTCTTTCCAAAGTGTACACTCGTCGCCTCCGTTCGTGCAACTATGATGTCTTCAACGTAAGAAGTGAATTTTTGGTTGTCTAGTAATGAGTAAATAGCTTTATTATATCAATTAGTATTATATATATAGATAATCTATAATTATAATACATTAATTAGTAATCTATAAGTAGCATCCAACTCTAAAAAGTCGAAGACTCTTATGTATTACTAAGAGTCTAATAATAATAATTATATTATAATAATATAGAATTTTTAGTTATACATAAGAGTCTAATTCTATGATAGTTAATTGAAGAAAAACAAACCCAGTTTAGCACTGAACTTTGGTGTGTTGATCTCCTTGTTTTTGTAAATATTGTACATCATCATCGAATTGATTAAGAAGTAGTCAGGGTAGAAATTGGTCTTCTCGTGTATTTTCAATGCCTCCACGTCGACGTCTATCATTCTTTCCAACAGAGCGTTATCTTTCAAGAGTCTGTACTTCATCTCTCCGATAGGGCGTTGTACGACAGTATCGATGATGTTGTACACTATTTGTCTGAATATGGTGCATTGATGTGTAGTGTCATAGAAGATGTCCAAAAGTGAGTCTAAAAATCCGTGTTCGTCGACAAGAGTATAAATGACACTGTAGTTTGAGAGTAACAACGACAAGACTATAAACCCAAGACGTATTTTAGTTTGTCCAACAAACCCTTCGTTTTTGGTTTGAAGCAGAAGTTGCATGTTCTCAAAGTGTGAGACAAGGTTCTTAAAAATGGCAGGCAATCCTCCCACGGGTATTGTGCACAAATCGCTACGTGATGTGTTGCAGGTCAACATGTCTGATATGACCATCAGTCCAAACTCCCGGATCTCCTTCATTTCGCTTGAAAAGACAAGGGTGACAAATTGGTCGAGACTTTTGTCGGTGTTAAAAAAGTCGACAAAGACATTAGCGGCAGCTCCGATCTGATGGGAATGTCTCCAGATGACTATTTCATTGATAATACGCGCAACACTTTCAATGCGGTCGATCGAGACGGGCGTCTCCAAAAACACGTTCAGCAGTTTTGTGATGAAACTTTGTTCACAGAACCATTGGATGCTTCTGCTATTTTGGTGAAACACATCCAACTTTAATAAAGCGATGATATAATCACAGATGGAGTAATTGTCTATATACTCCATTAACCCATCCACAAACCCTTCAACAGTTTGCACTTGTTCGAATTCTTTTGACTGTATTGGAATCAGTAACGAGGTCAGTACTTTACACAATAAGTCCAGTGTGACTCCCTCAAGCTTCTTGTTCTTTAGGGTTATCTGCTTTAACATATATATACCGGTCTGGTCCTCTAGAAAGACGCCATCAACTACACACCCTATACCCGAACTTAATACAGCGCCCGATAGAATTTGATGACGCATCGCACCATTCCCAATACAAATTGACATTTTGTGAA